GGCTCTCGTTGCTTAGGTAGCTCAAAAGGAAGTAAACAGGATTTGAGCTTTACCAGGAATCTTTTCTTTCTTATATTCCTTTTTTTCTTTTTTGGTTTTTTGGTTTTTTGTTCTTTTTTGGCATTTGCGTTTTGCGTTTTGTGTCGTGTTGTGTTTGTGTTTGCTGTGTCTTTAACCTCTCGGACATTAGGTACCAAATAGTTTGATATTTGGGGGTCTTCTGGGTCTTTGGCTCTGCCTTCGCTGGTATTTACTTAGGGAAATTCGATATATTTAAATATGTATATTATTTTATGGGGTCTTTTCTGCCGCTGTTGGCGCTCCCCGTCCGTGGGGTTCTCTTAATAAATTCTGTGAATTTTAATAAATGATAAGACTCGTGTAATTTGAAGACATTGTACATAATTTCTGTCATTTTTTCCCCCACTGGTTGGTTGGTTGGTCGGTTATGTGTGAGAAAATTTTAGAAGATTGGTATGAATATTTATTATTTTGGCTTGTATACAAGAGTCGGTCACTTGATGCCCTCGCTTCGCAGAATTCATTGGCACCAAAATCGGTTTAGAAAGGGGTTTTCATAAATGGAAACTTTAAACTGTTATTCAGGCGTTAAAGTTAGTAGCTATTTACTTATATTTTCTACAAGCCACCTTAAATTTGCGCTTTTTCCTGCGTTTTTTCTGCCCCGTTTATCCATTTTGAATTCATAAAAGCATTTTAAAAATACGCCAAAAAAAAGGCCATTTTCATAGGGGTGGTTCATTCCGCATTTGATCAATTATTCATTAAAATGCACTTTGGACTCGGGTTTTTATGGGCATTTCCTATTTACACCTATGTATATCGCATTTGTTTTCGGTTTTCATTTGCCAGCGCCTTCCATGCATTTCTGCACAAGTGAGCAATTATTTGTGCAACATAATTAAAATTTTATTAATTCATAAACAAATGCGCAGAGAGCGCACACAACACACAACTGGGAGCCAAAGGGAGAAGGACTCCACATTGCAGTTGCCTTTCAGCACTTCATCAACGCCAAATGTTGCTGCAGTTGCCGCTGTTGTTGCCCCTGCATCATTCATAAAAAATGCCATAAATGCAGACAGAGCAACAACATCAGCACGTAGAGTAGCCACCTCACCTCTTCAGGTGCGAATTTGCCACTCAACCCCCTTCCCCTCCCTCAAACTCGCCTTTTCCATCGGCCTCGTCACCTTGTCAATTTTACATGTAGAGCACGTGTCGCTGCTCGTGCTCAGTTGTTGCTGCTGTTGCTGTTGCACTTGCCGCTGGCAATGGGAATTTCTTCCTCGACTCTAATTAAAGAGCTCTTCAGTGGAGCTCCTTGAACCTGCAACACCATCAAATGAGTAACTGCCACACAGAAACTTTTAATTTGATACGCAACAAATCCGAAAACATATGGCAACCAGAATGAACGCTATAGTTGAGTATCTCGACTATGGCATACCCATTACTTAGCTGAGCAAAACAAAACGCTACGCTTTTGCAGGACCTTTAAGCAGGGTGGTGCCGAAAAACACCTCTAAGTTTTGGAATGAGATCTCGTACTGAGTGCTTAATTAACGTTTCTGTTTACCTCGACTATCAGATACCTGTGACGTAGCAAGCGAGATGGAAAACTACTGCTTCCATTTGGAAATCAGTTTTTGGTACAACTCTACAAATTGCGAGTACAAGAAGACAAAAACACGCTTTTTTCTATCTTTCACGGTTGCAACACCTGTCGAATTGTGGACATCAGCATAAATAGAAGCCAAATACATATAGTATATGAATATATTAAATATAAAGCTCGTTGCGAGAGCAGACACAGAGAAAACCCAGTAAAAAAAACCAAAAAAAACAGCAAACATCGCAAATACGAAGCAGAAGAAATGCACACAGCACAATATTAAACAAATGGCACGAACAAAATATTAACAAAATATAACTCTCGAAAATAGGTGAGAAAAAAGGTGAAAAAAAGTATGGAAAGTCAAAACAAAGCCATGTGTGCTGAAACTTAGACAAATACGAATATAAGCAAATAGAGCGAGATTCAATATTTACTAAATGCCAAATGGAATTTTCTGTCAGCACGAATTCGAGACGCGTGTCAGGAACAATCGCTTAAATAAATAATATTAAATAATTACATTTCACATTTAAAATGCACAATTGGAGCAACTTTTTATTAAACTTTTCTTCGTTGCTATTTGCAGCTTAAAAACCGAAAAGATGAGTGTGCAATACTTTAAATGTGATAGTGCAAAGTAAAGTGTCATGATTGAGTACTCTACATTTTAGTAAGTAAATATCAAGTATACATATTTCGATATATATCCAAATGGAGCATGAACACCATGAAAAAGTACGTTCAATGTTTTCCGCAAAACAAATCCAAGGCAAAGGCCCTGGCAAACAAACAATCAAAAAATAGAAACAATCATTTTCGCATGAAGTTTGGCCAAAACGCCTTCGTTTTTGGGTTCCCGGCTTTGATTTTAATTTTTCGCTGGCCTTTTTTTTTTATCGTGGCCAACTGGAGGTGGGCCATCGAGGGGGGAGGTGGGAAATTTATGGCGTCACGTTAGCAACTACTGGTTTTGATTTTTATTTTTAGAGTTTGCCTTCTCCGGCGCTCCAACAATTTGCGGCTTTATAATTGCCTTTTTCAAATTCACTTTTTTGCTGCTCTGTTTTTCTGCTCATACTTATACCTGAGTTGGCCCAGGTAAGAGTTAGAACAAAATTCGGCTAAGATCATGGCTAAGATCTACACGAAAGCGTTGAGGAAAACTCAGTTCGCGCGAGTGTTTTTCCCAACACCTTTCTGCACTCCATTATTATTGTTTTGAGTCATTTTGTGTCTAATTGTTGGCCACATTAAGCGACCAAAAAAGCCAACGTAGACATAAAGAAAATGGCAAGTGTAAAGTTTTTAAAGAGTCAGCAATTAAAGTAGCTCTTCATGTGGCTTTGCCAGTTTGGCAATGCCGTTGATATTGTTGGCCATTATGCGCATAAAATTATTATTAAACAACATTAGGAGGTCCCAGCCAACGCAAAACGTACAATAGTCATGCATAATTAAGGCTCGGAAAAATCCAAGGAAAATCTCAAGTGTTGACAAAAAGAGTTAACGGCAGAAGCTTTGCAAGGGTTTTTTCCAGAGGGCCAAAACCTGACATTCGCTTGGCATTTTCTCGGCTTATAGCTCCATTTCTGGAACTTTGGAGCTTAGGGAATGCCAAAATAAAAATGTGTAATGATGTCATTGGCAAGGGCAGTTAGCTCCATTTTTGCTCGGTTTTGGCAGCGTTCTTTTTACTTAAAAATATTCCATAAAAGAATTTACTATTTTACAGATTCGAATCTCAAAGATACTTACGAAATAACAGTTTCGTTTTAATGAATGGGTGTGAACAATGCATGTACAAAACACATACATATATGTATGTAACAAAAATATATGTAAAACTGTTTTGTTATTACAAAATATTGTACGTATTGGTAATAAAAAAGAATTTATGAAAATGAATAAAGTTTAAGTGCTTTGGTAGCTATCTAAGGTCCGTAAACAGTTATTTAATGTAGGAAATAATTCATTGTTTATGAATTTGCATACAATTTAGGAACTATAATAATATTTACGAATATCATTAATATTCAATAATATCTTATGATATCTGCGTCACTTGTCAAATGTGTGAACTACAAATGGAATATATTTCATGGAAAGGATTGTAGAGTTTGACAAACTTGGCCAATAAACCAATTTATAAGTGAAACTAGACGCAAGAAATCCGTAGCAGGAGCCGTAGAAGTATCTAAGTATCTGCAACATATATACGCTCGTTCGTGCAGATATACGTGGTCGGCAATCCCAGAGCTATCTATCTATATATGTATGTGTGTATGCATGTAGGTATTTGTGTAGGAACAGCTCTCTAGCACTGGCTGCTATTGAAATTGAAGGCGACAACGCAGCAGTGGCAGACGACGTTCGCGGCGAGCTTTGCCATCTTTTTCTGTTTATTTTTGTGCTTAATTTTGTTTTGCGTTTTGCGCCGGCTACAAAGCTACAGCAGAGCGAGAGAGTCCGGAGAGAGAGAGAGTCAAAAAGCGCCGCTCTTCGCTACTTTTGCTCTCTCTTCCTTGCGGTCAGCCCCAAACACAACATGTGTTTCGTCATCAAAGTGTTGTGTTTGTGGTGTTGCTAAAAAATCAATTTTTTATACGAATTTTATAGAAGTTGTAGGTGGTTCAAAATGTTTGTTTTTGAAATGAATAAGTTACGAAAAGCTTTTAAGGGCAAATGAATTATTTTTTATATATATAATTACAGAACAGACGGCCACTAAATCTCTTTAAAAAGTATTGAAACAACATTAAGTTTCCAGTGTTATTAACTTTGGTTGTTTCTTTAAAAATAAATAATATGTACAATTCTTATAAAATCTTAAATAAAACAAAGTCAGGAAACTATATACTGCTAATTTATTACTGCTAAACCAGTTCAATAATTCGAAAAGGTTGAATGAATGTTTTAATTTGAATATGCATTGTAAAATTTTCATTATTAATATTTAGCTACATAGAAAATCCGCATTTATGAATTTGGAGACAAAAACGGTTTTTTTAAATATTCCAAAACTGGGATCGGTTGTGGTTTTGATTTCGCCAATCCGCCATTAAAAGTCAAAGTTACTTTTGATTTTGTTTTTGTGTTTATTTGTGTTTTGTGTGTGGTGGGGAGCTCAAGCAAAAATGCCGGCAGTTGAAAGAGCGCAAAGAGCACAAGAGAAGAGCGGCCAGGGCCGAAGGCCTCACTAGCCGTCCCGCTCTAGTGGGGCCGCCCCCCGTCGGCAGAAAGAAGGGGCCGGCAATAGTGCGCTACCACGGTCTCCCATCTTGACACTTGACACAGCGCAAAGAGAGGGCTAAGAGCGCGATAAGAGCTAGGCACGGCACGTCACACAGCTGGTGGCTATGGATGTGCGTATCGGTGAGATGCATTTCAGTTCGAGTTTGTATTTCGTTTGGTGAGGTTCACTGTTCGCAACAGTTCGTCTTTGTCCACTGTCGACGTGTCTCTCTCTCTCACTCTCTCTCCATCCGCCTCTGTTCGCCGTGCGTGTCTGTCCCGACTTTATTTACCTTTTAGCTCACGTTTCACGAAGAATAAAGATCAACTGAAAGTTATAGCCGCAGAAAAGTGCGTAGAAAAGGCACCAAAACGAAGGGGAAGAGTTGGCACAGCCCAAAAAGAATGAAGAAAAAAGCAATGCAAAGTGCGCGTGTGTGTTTACGTGTGCGTGCGTGTGTGTGAGTGCGTGTCTTTTCCGTCGCTCCCTTTGCAAAAACAAACAAGTATCGTTCAGATACACGACAATTATCCAAGACCCAAACAGTAGAAATCTTATAATCAGCTTAGGTTCTCCCGTTTATTGCTTTTTTGTTGTGTTTTTGTAACAATTAGGGTTTTGAAGAAAATTTCCTCGTTTTGTTGCGGAATTTTTGTGTGGCGTTCCATTGCCCAAACGTTCCTCGAACTCTCTTTCGCGCTCGCTCTCTTCTTCTTGGCTCTCTCGTGTCGCTTTGCCGCTTTCGGGTTTCATAATTTTGTCGCTTTTCGCTTGCGTATCTTTATTTATATTTTGTTTCGTTTCCACTGCGTTTCGCTCAGTGTGAATCTTAATTGCCCACTTTTTGGAAAATTCAAAATACGAAATTCCCCCCACCCCCGTCAAAAAAAAGTAGCAAAAGCACACACAATATTAATAGTTCTACATTCTTCTCGTCCCCCAGCAGTTTCTCTGACAAAATACTATATGATTTACCCAAGATCTTGGTGTATATATTTTGTGCAAAATAAATACAAATAAAAACCATAAATAAATTCAAGCTAGCCTTGGAAAGTCATTGAAAAAAATATTAAAGAAAAGGAAAAAATACATAAAAAAGAGATAAAAACCAAATCGATTTAAAGATATATATATTTATACACACAACGGTTTCACTTTGCGAGTTGTATACAAAGTAAATAATAATGTAAAGATAAAACCAAAAGCGATTTACAGTTATCGACGCAAATTGTTCAATTGTTTGCCTCGCGCTCTTTAAAAACCTCTCAAAATAAAGTATAATACACAAAGAAGTGCAAATCAATGTGCAAAATCAAATGATACATATATTCAATAATTAACACGTATAATGCCGCCTAAAAAACTAAGCAAACATGGATTAACGCATTTATTGTAGATTGTTATCTATTGGATTGAAGTCAACGAGCAAGGTTTGATCAACGTTAATCATCAACTGAAAGGTATTAACTAATTTTGACCTCTAAAAGATTTACTTTGGAAAAGTAGCAATATGTAGCAATGGTTTCTGAAACAAATATGATTTATCCCAAATATTTAAATCTTCTTGGGTTGAGACAACGAAGACCCTATTAGATAAAAGTATCAAATGAAATATTATTTTAATCCCACCTTCGCTTCAATTCTGAAGTTTTTATGTTCTGGAGATCATTTAAAATGTAAGAAACAGTTCAGTACAGAAAATTCAAAGCTTTCTAAAGACTAATATTGAAATCATAATCAAACCCTAAGCGTGACAGTCTGAAAGATTTTCTTGGTTCTTAGCTGACTCAGCAAGTGCGATTAATTCTTGGGAAAGGTACGCATATGTCCATTTGTCCATTTGAATTTCCCAACATTTTGTCTGAAGCAAGATTCGTCTTTTGCAAGAACACTTATCAGAACTCTGGTTATTTCCAATAGAAATAATAGTTCGAGAGTACAGAAGTGTGGAAGTGCTGGCTGTTACATAAGAAAACGTGAGTCGAGTCGCGCTGCTCGGTTCAGTTAGAATTCTTTTGCTAATACACGAGCAAACATTGTAAACTGCCTCGGTGTTTGTCATTCATTCTCGTTCGGTGCGATCCGATCTCTCGGCGACAAACAAACCCCAAACTGAGTGCCCAAACCCAAACCAAAACCCACACCGAAAACGAAACCAAAACCAAAACTGAGAACTAAGCCCAAAGGAAACTTATATCGGTATCACCGCGGAGCTGAGAAAAGCGACTGAAAATCGGCTCACACGAATCGAAAAGGTTTATTTTATTCGCCGTTCCGTTCGTGGTTCTTAACTGAGGTTCTCTCTCTTTCAGCGCTACGTATCTCACAGATACATTTGTCAAGCGAGCGAGCGCATGTCGGCTGTTTTATTTTATTTTATTCTATTTTTTTGTTCTTTATCAACGCCAAGTTTTGCATATGATATTGAAATATTTATTTTGAGAACATTTTATTTATACCGTCAATGAAAATCCTCAGCTATTTTTACCTAATCACACTCTCTTACATGCGAGAGAAGTGAGCTCTTAGAACATTTTGCGACGTATTTTGGTTTGATTTAATTAGTTTATTGTTGCTAGACTTGGTGTTTTTGAGTTTTGCTATTAACTGGCTGTCGGCAATTTGGCTTTTTTTTTGTTTTTCTATACAGGTTAAACCAGTTTTCCTCTACTCAAAATTAAAATCAGAAAAAGAGCACCTCAAACATATATTTCATAGTTTCAGATACGTTCGTTGTGTTTCTTTCGGTTTTTGTATATTTTTTCGGGCGCCCCTCAACCTAATCTTCGCCGCTCATAATTCAATAAAAGCATGAGGAAGAAACTAACTAAAATTGCTGCGCTTAGGCTTATCGCCGGTGCCCCCACCGCTCACACAAACCAGCAAAGAACCCCACACACACACACACTCACACACACACACACAAAGCAGCGATTAGATAATGGCATTTTAAACGATGTCTCTACTGTACAGTAGAGTCGCGAAACACGCACGAGCACTGACCAACACACAATGGAAATGGACTTTGTTTTGAAAACTGAAAAAGGCTGATAAGACAGCCCATTGCCCACATAGACAGGCAAACTGAGAGTATCGTAGGAACCCAGAGAGAAGTGTGGAGGAAACCTATACAGAATTTCGAGCAATTATAATTGTAGTACGGAGAGGAAATAGATTTTTAACATGGTATGGTTGGGCAAATGCAATCTTGATTACTTCCAAATGAATTGCTATAATTTGGGACCTGCCAAATAATCGTCGACTAATTTATGTGTGGTCAAATTATAGAGATTAGAGAGCCATCGGGAATAATGTTAAGTCGTAAGTCAGCTTTGAATGTGAATGTGGTTTATGTATAAGTTTATAATACATTTTTATAAGAATGTAACAGTTTTGCTAACTAGTACTTAAAGTATTATTATTCTATTCACATAAAAATGCATGTGACTCTTAAAGTAAACATATGTTAAACATGTTTTTTTAGAAATATTGAATATATGCCTTTTGTTTGCTTTTCTTACTTTTCATATTAAAAGGCAAAGGTACAAAGTAGAGAGAAAAACCAACAAAATTAGTACGTTTAGGAATATCTCCAATTTTCCGATTCCGAGCGCGAATTTCCTTTGCTGTGGGGAAAACTTGAGGTCACACGGTTTTGGACACACTTTCCTGTGAAGCGTAAATGAATTTGTCCCTTTGAAGTTTTCCATGTTAATTGGAAATTAAGCTTGACCATTCGCTCTCCTCACTCGAAAACTTCGTCGTGTGTATAAGACATTTTTTGTTCAACTTCTTTTTTATGCTTTTATTTCTGATCTGTTTTTTGTTGTTTTGTATGTGCTGCACATGATTCTTGTTGGCCGGGACTACGTTTATAATTACGTTAACTTCAATTACTGCTTACGTACAATATCAGAGCAATTTTTGTTTCTTTCCAGGTAAAACTGGTTTCTGAATGCCTCATTTTGTCAGTAATTTTTATATATAATTTTTTCCGTTTCTCAACGTACCACTGCACGAGTTTTGCTATAATTTTAATTTCTTTTTGAAGTTCTGCGCAAATGTGTTGAAGATCTCTTAACTGCTCTTTAAAAAGTGGTTAAGAAATGGTTGCCGTCTTCAAACTCTCCTGCATTAAACTCATTACAGCTTGTAATATTGGTGATGCCACATGTAGGTTTAAAATTACTACTTATTGAAACTCCTAACAAAATATAGTGCTCTCAAAAAATCACATTTAAACGAAAGATTAACCATTTCCTTATGCAAATACACGTTAAATTGTATACATATGATTTTCGATTGGCATTCTCAGAAGACTCGCAGTTTTCTTAGCATGGTAGTGCGTCTGACATTGTTGGATATTTTGATATGTGCTCCTCTATTTCCTCCACACATCCACTTATCCACATTGTTGTGTTTTTTATTTGACTTTGCCTGCGCTTTGCGCTTTTTGTGTGCCTTATTTTGATTTGTTTGTTGTGTTGCTTTGCGAACTTCTCCGCTTTGGGGCGTTTGCCGCATTTGAATTTCATTTTTAGATTTCAATTTATTTTCGGCGTAGTTTATGCCAATTTGGTTTTTGGGTGCGATTTCTTTAATTTTATGTATGCCATATATTGTTCCCGCTTCTCAGTGTGTTGGTCGCGTATCTGTGTGAGTGCTTCTTCAACTGAATTTGTTGAATTCATACTCATTTTGCAGTGCACCGTTTGCTGGCCCCCCTGTATTTATTGTATAATAGGTTAAACAAATGAAAACCCCATTAAATTGCAGTTTTTTGACTGTACTGTTACTGTACTTGACCGAAAGATATGTGTGATTGTTATGGTCTCTATCTGAGGTTTCTTTTCTTGTCATGTGGTTGGCTTAGTCACAGACGAAAAACTGAAATAGCGCTCGGCGGTTCCTTTTTTAAAAGCATATTAACTAATTGACGTCTGTGTTTATCTATAGGCAAAAAAAGAACGCGCTTCCTCGACCCACAAATATTTGACGGACTGACATTTGGGCCAACAAATGTTTCAACTCACTTTGGGTATCCGACCATTCATTGATGTCTGCACTCTTGTTCCCAACCAGATCGCGAATCACTTGCTCGAGTCCAACTATAATTATCTTAATTAAAAATCTAAAGTCAAAGTTTTGGCCCAGTAGTCGAAAGTCGGAGTCAGAGCCAGAGTCAGAGTCAGAATAAGCCAAGCCGGCGATTAGCTCATCTGGTTTTCTGGCGAATTGAGCAATCAACGTCGTTTAAATGGCATGGAAAAGCTTGAGACAATCTCGGCTTTTAGTCGAGAAAGAGCTCCTTGGTCCCCCCGGAAACCCCTCTGACCACTCATTACTTGCA